CAGTGGCTGAGTTAACCTAAAAAATTCGTGAAAGTCCGAAAATCACTTTTTTTCGCGTATGAAAAAAAATTTGACCTCCAATGCCGAAAAAATAAATGACAAAGTTGTAGATCTTAAAAAAACCTATCGATTGACGCGCGTTGAATATAATTTGAATGGGTAGTTGCTGAGAAAACTTGAAAAAACCATCAAAAATGGTCTTTTTTTAATTTGTTCATAACTTTTTTTCTTTTAAAATTTTTAAGTTGGTATTTAGTCAAATTATGAGTTTTTGGTTAACAAACCTTCCGTCGTTTTTTTAGCAAAAAATATTAATAATTTTTCGAAATATCGCATTTTTTCGAAAAAAAAACACCTTTCTTTAAAACTTCAATAGACGTCAAGAAATAATGCTGAAGCGATTTTTCAGGGCTTAATCTCTTTGTCTAGACTTATTCTATCATGCAATGTTTGTAGTAAGTAAAATTTTTCAATTTTTGATGCCGAAATCGGACTCCGAAAAAAGTACTTTTTTTTCTATCGGTTTTTTGCATTTTTTTTACGTATTTTGATAATTGCACGTATATAACTAACTGCAATGCATTGAACTTTTTTTTTTTACGAATTAAAAAAAAAAATTTTCATGATACGACCATGTGGAGCCAAGTTAGGTTTTTTTTTTTAAAAATCCCTATGCGACGGTGAAAAGCGTAGAACTCTGAAACTTGCACACTTTACTAACAAATACCCATTTTGCATAAAAAAATTATTTGCAATCGTTAATTTTAGCGGAACGATGGGTATGATAACGTTACAGTTGAGTCTCTTTTCGCGTCGCGAATCGACTGCCTACTGGTATGAGGTGTGTCTGGCTGGTTGCTCTTACTCGGGCGCTCGGACAATGCTGCTTAGGGACATCAAGTCTTGTAAATATTACCTTTATTATAATTACCTGACTTTATTTGTAGATGTTATCACAGGTTCATTAAAAATAAGTAATGGGTTAACGAAACAAAGCAGAGACTTACAGTCCGGAGCAGCTGCATGAGGGGAGAACATCTTTCTCTCACCACTCCGACTCCATTTCGGAGCCGTATCGGAGCGCGCGAGTAAGAGCAACCAGCCAGACACACCTCATACCAGTGGGCAGTCGATGCGCGACGCGAAAAAAGACTCAACTGTAACGTTATCCTACCCATCGTTCAGCTAAAGTTAACGATTGCGAATCATTTTTTTAATGCAAAATGGGTATTTGTTAGTAAAGTGTGCAAGTTTTAGAGTTCTACGCTTTTCACCGTCGCATAGGGATTTAAAAAAAAAAAAACCTAACTTGGCTCCACATGGTCGTGTCATGAAAATTTTTTTTTGTAAATTCGTAAAAAAAATAAGTACAATGCATTGCAGTTAGTTATTTACGTGCAATTATCAAAATACGTAAAAAAAATGCAAAAAACCGATTGAAAAAAAAAGTGCTTTTTTCGGAGTCCGATTTCAGCATCAAAAATTAAAAAATTTGACTTACTACAAACATTGCATGATAGAATAAGTCTAGACGAAGAGATTAAGCTCTGAAAAATTGCTCCAGCATTATTTTCTGACGTCTATTAAAGTTTTTACGAAAGGTGTTTTTTTTCGAAAAAATGCGATATTTCGAAAAATTTTTAATATTTTTGGCTAAAAAAACAACGGAAGGTTTGTGAACCAAAAAACTTATAATTTGACTAAATACCACCTTTAAAATCTCAAAAGAAAAAAAGTTATTAACAAATTTAAAAAAGACGATTTTCGATGGTTTTTTCAAGTTTTCTTAGCAACTACGCATTTAAATTATATTTAAGGCGTGTCAATCGATAGGTTATTTTAAGATCTACAACTTTGTCACTTAACTTTTCGGTATTGGAGGTCAACTTTTTTTTCAAACGCGAAAAAACTGATTTTTGGACTTTCACGAATTTTTTAGGTTAACTCAGCCACTGAATAACCGAGAAAACAAAACGCTATGTTTCTTAAATCATTTTTTTCTATATAAACGTATTTTTTTTTTCTGATAACACTAATGTCAAATTTAACATTGAGCCTTCGTGTAACAATTGGCCTACAGGCCTCTTGAACGCGGCTGGCTATACGTGCACACACACATACCCACACTTGGCCCGATCTCTAGCCTATGGAGCAGGTCGTCGTAGCGGCTAGTAAAGGTCATGGTGACGTTCCTTAAGAGATGTCCACGGCGTTTGCTTCCCGTCTATGCCCCCGCCTGTACCCGTGTCCTGTACTCTTCTACTTTATTCTTACGCCCATGCACATCCTCTCTCCTCTCTCTCTCTCTCTCTCTCTCTCTCTCTCTCTCTCTCTCTCTCTTGGTCCCATTCCCACTTTCACACACTTTGCCCGACGCGTCTATCCTCACGTTAGACGGAGGCTTGACCGTGGCACGCGAAAATCACTGCCCTATGCCCCAATCCTTCCGCTCCTGCTCTCGCGTTTATCGCTATGGCTGACGATTTCATCCATTTTCCCTCGTAACCTACGCACTGTACCTTGACGTATCCCGTGCTTCCTCACTGTAAGACAAGTCCATCATGAGCGTCGAGGATCACTGTCTGGTAAATCGACGCTGCTTAATACCTGGGCCTTTCTCGCCTGCTGTTCCGTACACCTCTCTCCTCGAGCTCGGCTAGGGTCGTCACGGGAGGAAACCTCGTCTGCAGGATGGCTACCGTTCAAGGTCGGATGGGTTGGGATCCGGCTTTTTTTTTCGCGTCTTATTAAAAATACGGTTTGGTTTTTAAAAAATTACCAAAACTAAACGAAACGTGTGTTTTGGTCTGGTCCTTGGACGAGGCATGATCAATTATTTAAAAAATTAAACTTTTCGGCTTCAAATGAGTTTTGTAATGAATAGTGCTCTTAATTGTTTAAAAGAAAGACGATTAACGGCAGTGCATTCAGGTCATAGTTTAGTTGGTGTATGGTCGGAAATTCCTCAACCCGAGGTCATCCCACAGTTGATAGTTTTCTTTCTTTCAATATTGTTCACAGACTCACAAAATTGAACGTTATAGTCTTTTGGACACTCAAAATAATTGTTTATTTTGAAATACAATTCAATAAGGATACATAAATGTGCTTATAGCTAAGATTTACAAAAGTATGAAAAATATGAACGCGTGTTCTATCGATTTTAAGTTATGGACACTTTATTGTATTTTATGGTAACGGTATGAAACTTATTTTTTATGAAAACCGGTAAATTAGTCGATGTCGGGGCCCCGTAAAAGAGATAACGTTCGTTCGTTACCAATGCGAAAAGAAAACTCTTGCTAATCTCATTCGTGAGCGAAGACTCGTCAGCCAGGGCGCCACAATGGCTGCGTAAGTCGTTAACTACACTCGATCGAACAGAAAAGCTTCGAACTCACGGGCGTCAGCTAACGCACCGAACACGACGAATCGTGAGAGGTTTTTTAGAGCACCAAGTGCACCTTTTCGCTGCGCAGCAAGAACTGAATCAGAGAGCGCTTTCGGACAGGCTCGGCTTGGCGCTGCCGAAGGCTCCCGAAGTCAGACGCGTATACAGCTGATTCACACACAGGTATACGCCGGCCTCCTTTACTATGTATATAGATTCTTTTTCCCCTACGTTGTGTCTCATTTTTTGCCATAAATACATGCCGTACAGTTGGTAAGGATCTTATTAGAGGTATGGATGCTCCAATTAGGTAAAAGTTTAATATGTAATCAGCTTAAGTATTTGTTAGATGGACTTGTCTGAGACTTCCTGTAGTATCTCACAGGTGGTTTGGTACCTTAGAATTTCTGAGATTAAGCTTTTTGGGTTCAAAGTAAGCAGAGACAGTAGAAAAATCTATATAAAATTTTGGGGTAAGGCTAAAAATAGAGGTACATATATGTTAGTTAGAGAAATTTAGACAGAGGTGATTGGCTTAATTTTAGTAAAAGAAGATAATGTGACATAGTGCAAGTCTCTTTTCAGGTTAAGCGTAAGCACCTTTTATACAGAGGTATTAGAGGGTACCCATAAAATTCATAAAAAGTTACTAAAGTGAGATGAAAAAAGAAAGGAATATTTATTAACACAAAAATTCCAGAAGTTAATACAATTTGCTATTATAATTAAGACGCATGTGCATTTAAGAACTTTATCAGACTAGTTGTTTTAAGCCATTATACATTTTTAAACACACTAAAAAACTATGAGAAATATGCCATACTACAATATGATTGCTAATATAAAACTTACAGAAAATAAAAATAGTAATGGAGATCAAAATTAAGTATTTTAATTAGTCAGAATAATGGTTGTAAGGACTTTCATAAGCTGATGATTCTTTAATTTGGCATCCTGTCATCAGCTAAGTTACTAAGCTACTATCTTTATGGTTTCAATGTACGTGTGGATTTAGAACAGCTTGATGGTAAACAACGATAGTACTATATATTTTTTTATTATTCTTCAGGACTTTTTTGAAAGGTTGATCATGTTTTAGTTGTATTAAAAACTGCACCCTTAAGACGAAACGTCTCTAGTAAGCAACAACATTTTAATCAATAACTAAAACTTTATCTTACCTAGACTATATGTTAATCAGACGGTATTTCGTCTGTGAAGTAAATAGATAGCTATTCATGTAGGACTCTTTCCAAATTATAAAAACTCACTTGTGTTGCAAATAGACAAAAGTCATTGACATTAATGATTACATTATCTTATAAATAATGATAAAAAAATTTTTAATAATAACGGCATATATGCATTACTAAACTATAAAATACCAGATAAAGTCTCTTAGTAATTCATAAATAAAAATTTTCTATGCATAAAGTATATGCAGGATTGTTAATTATACATTTTATGATACATTTTTATAATTATACTAGTTAATAATTTTAAGCCGTAAGATAGCACGTATAGGTTTGGTACACTAAGCTCGTAAGAGCATGATAAGACATAAAAAAATAGTTATTTATCATAATTTACTCTAGTTTTTGTCAGTTACCATAATTTCCTGCTCCATAGGATCCTCCTATTATGACGGTAATTTTAGGAACTTTAGCGCATGCAACGGCATTGACCATTTTTGCTCCATTCTTAGCTATACCACCTGCCTCTGCATCTCTTCCAACCATAAAACCTGTTTAACAAATGGATTTGTGCAACTGAGTAATAAACATGATGAGTCTTAAAAGCAATAAATCTACAAAACCTCCCAATAACGTACATATTTTACAAAATCAAAAAATTATAAAAATGCTGTTTAATTAAAAAATATAAGAACCTAACTAGAGATACTTAAGGAGGTTCGGTAGTGTTAGCGGGGGGAAATCTCAGAGAGGCAAGGGGAGGGAGAGCGTCTGGCAACGTTGTGAATTTTTTCGGCTGCTGGCACGTCGTCTACTGTTGTTGTCGTCTACTGCTGTTGTCGTCGTCTACTGATGACAGTGTACTTAATTATTCGGTTGAATTTTTTATAATTAAATTTTCAATTACAAAAGGAGTTTTTACTATTCATTACATTTCAAAGCGCGCTCCAAAAGCAGCGTTGCCAAGTCGTCTGCTGCGAGCAAATTTTTGCTGTTTTTTAATAGAAATTTGTGGTAGGGCTCTCTCAAACTTTGACAAAATATTATTTTGACAATATTCTTTCATTTAAAAAAAAAAAAGCAAGTTCATTTAGCCGTTTTTTTTTTTATGTGCAATTTAAGTGATTTCTCCATAAGCCTACATGTTAAAATATTGTTTTTTCAGGTCAATATATCTTGAAAACGGTGTGGTTAAACCCTTCAAAAATTTAGCTGTAATTTGATACTATTATCCCTAACGACATATCGAAATTTCAAAAATTTTCATCATAAAAAATTATCACTACCGAACCTCCTTAAACATGGAAAAAACTCGTTCATATTTTTCTTAACTGTAACTATCAGCCTTTAAATATATGATTTCTTAGAGTAAGTATTTGAGGCCTAACAATATTGATTCATGCTAGTATTCACTATTAACGATCGTTAGCACTATTGCTTATATCTTACGATTTATAACTTATACTTAAAGTACGTAGTGAAAAACGGTTTCAAATAATAAAACAGTAATAATAAAGATTTCTCATATGTTGTTTGTTCAAAAGTAAAAAGTCAAATGCTACTTTTAAAAAGAATAATATAACAGACATTTTAAGACAAATTTGAGTGCTAAGATGCCTATGAGTAAGAGTAAAAAATTTCATTTTTTAAAATCCTATACGAATTCATCAGCTTTCATGCATTTTCGTAGTTATAAGAAATAGAACAAAGTTTTTTCCTAGATTATATAGTCTGCATATTCAACTGAAAGTAACGTATTACGCTAGACCACTCTTTATAATTTTATAACGTTTTATTAGATTTCAGAGATAGTATTCTAATAAGTGAGTTTTTTAAATAAGAAATCTATTCTTCAAACACTTTTATGGTTTTTTTGTCATACTACGAAAGTTTATCTCATAACTTATATCGGGAATAGTTAATCTAGCTTTGGATACTAAGTTCTAGTTATTTAAAATAATTATGTAGTATCAAAAAGTACTACATATATTTTATTACCAATTTTACATATAGACTGACCATGACATATTCTATAGATATGTCATAATTATGATGCAGTTGTAGGACAAAGTTTACTCAGCCACCCCTTCCTATACTTATACCTCATCATAAATCAAAATTTTTTAATATTCACTAACCTCCTTTAAAATAAGGTGAAAAATAACAAAGAGATGGTATGTACAATCGTCGTAGCTTGATTCATAGACCGCGAAAGTTTAAGTCCTTAGAATTGTTAACCATATTAAAACACGAAGAAAAACCATAACCATGAGATTACAATACAAGTAAAACAACTATTTAATAGAAAAAACTATGTAGCAAATTAAAAAAAGCAATGTAATGAATTTTTTATAACCGTTAATGTTTTAAATACTAAAATATTAGTTGAAACCATCCCAATCAACGTAAGAATTTTCAATTTTAATTGCACTATCTTTGAACACTATGATAATTTATAAAATATATTTTTATACTTATAATTATATGTCTTGCCATACAAATTCATAAAAGTATAATTTTATACTTGGGAACCCAAGTGACTACTGACCACTGGTCTTTCCATGTGCATATTTAAATTGCAAAAATATATGGAACATGCAAAAACATAATTTGCTTTAGATTCCAAAGACCGCTTACACATAAAGAAATATGTTGATTATACTCACTTCAAGAGGTCCATCCGTAGAATTGTTTATAATTTCTTTACATTTTATTTATTTTTTAGTTATTCCTATGAAAATGTTAGACACTGCTAGAGTGATCTCTAAGTTATCTTCGAAACATTTTTTACATTACTTACTGCTAATAAGATAAAACATTATGATTTCTTAAACATGTTAGTAAGGGTACACTCTCCGTGGCCTAATTTACAAACCAGCAAGTTTGAATTCTTAAATTCGTTTTTATCAAATAAAAATGAAAAATTTTTCCAGCATTGTTTAGTAGCTGGTTGCGTAATAGTTATTTTTTTATGCTTCTTTTTTTTTTCTCTCACTCCATGTATGTATATTCGAAAGATAAAACAGTTAAAAAGCCATGTGTGGAGTAAATGTTTTTAATTCAGTTAAATATTGTGAACGTCTCCCTCTTCAAAAAGGTCTTTTTAAAATATTGTAAGGTTGGTGGACTAAAACTACCAATAAATTCCTTTTTTTCCCTGCTCATTTCCTAGTAATGTAGTTTTGAAAGCATTTGAGCAAGGACCAACATGCATCTGAAAAGAGGTGAATCGCCTGCAAGTTACTAGTACCTGCAGTACAATGATAATTTATGTACATGCACGCTGGCCTACACTGACCAGAAATGAAAAACAAAATATTCTTCAACAACCGTAGATGCAGAAGTTCAACTGGGAACAGTTAAACTAACGGGTTATAGTAAAGGCAAACATAATTTTAGATTAGGATTAAATCAGATACAGTTAAATATTAGGGTAGCTTAGAATTAATACATATAAATAAGCGAAAATATTAGTAAAAGCCAGAATCGTCACACATAGTGAGAAATTAACAACCAGTACACACTACACTACTAGCAAGCAACTAAATTACATGTTAACTATGATGAGCCTGGTAAACAACTTCATTAACTTTCAAGGGATTACCCGATTTTTACCATTCAAATTCACAAGCTCATGACTTACCGAGTAACCCTTTTTGGATCACATTAATAATTTTATAAGCATACTGCAACAGTCTAATTTTTAATTCATTTAATTACTAACACTTTTTCCCAAATGTAAAGGAAAACAGAAAGTTAGCCCTTCCCCTATTCTTGACTTTGAGATGTCGAGAGAGAGAGAGAGAAAGAGAGAGAGAGAGAGTCTGTACGCCTGTCTCTAATAGGGGTAACAGAATTATTATTATTATTATTATTATTATAACTACTGCAACAAATATTATAATTATAAGTTATTAAGTTATAGTAGTGTTAATTGATTTATCGTAACACACCGATCGTTAATATTAGGTTATAGTGAAATTCTGTAAAATTTCGATGTAAAAGAAAAAGAAAGAGTAAGAGTAACTAATTCACTTTCCCTTCTCTTGACGCATGTAGGATAGCAAGCCGGGTGTGAGAAGTTCTAAATTCTATGTGGATAAACTGGAGCAGTTCTAGTCAATTAGATTTTTGTCTATTGTAGTTTCTTCAAGATTTTTCCCTGGCAAGTTTCTCTGCGTCATTCTCGAACCAGCGCGTCACCAAGGTCTGCTACTCCTAATAAAAAGACTCAGAGGCTCTGAAAGTGCAGACTTTCTTAATTTTTACCCCTCGAAGATTAAACTGAGTAGTAAGAGTCTGCCTCTGCTATCTCTCAGTCTACCACGAGGTGAGGACACAATTTTTATTTTACTCTCGAACGGTCGACTGGGTTTTAAGAGTCCGCCTCTGCTACTTGGTCTTCCATGAGCGTGGTTTTAACGTCAGATATGGACACCTCGCACTGGCTCGCCGCGTGCATAAGTTTTTTGTTTCGAACAAAAGTAAGTGTTCAAAGTTTACCACATTTCTTATTTCTTTTACCGTTTTTCTTTCTGACGCGAGCATAAACTCTCACGCGCACACCATTACTCAGCACGGTATTGGTACCCGCGAATTACCGGGAAATACTAAGTCTTATTTTCTTTAACGCGCACACCACTACTCGCTACAGTAGTAGTACCATCAGAGCGATAAGAACTAATCTGATTAATGCGAATACCAGTACTCGCGACGGTATGGGAACATCCTAGTCAGGTCGCGAGTTAAGTAAATATCTACCCCCACGTAATCCCTAGAAACGATATCTTTACGCGTAACAGTGTTAGTGATATCTGGATCGTGGAGGGGATACCCTGCGGTATGACGCTCCAGGTGAAATCAACCAACTTTAGACGTGCCACGAGCAAGTGCATTAGAATATTGCACAGCAGTCGGTTCAAGTCGTGTGAAAGCAGTCGTAGCCCCAGTGTGTGTTCCGAGTTATTAAGCGAAAACTTAGGCTTAAATAGTACGTCACACCGACGTTACAATATATTAACCAGTACATCAGAATTATTAAATTAATGAAACAAAATTTTTTTATCCTAATAAGTCCACAGAACTAAGAAATATTACAATCTAATTTACGTACAGCCCTGCCTGTGTAAGTGCCTTCGAGATTTTTCACAATTCACAATTAGCATTCAAACGTCAAATTACATATTTATTCCTTATAGTAATCACGTATGTGTCAAAAAAATATTTTTTAATTTACAGTATTGTAAGAAAATAAAAAAAATATTTACAGTAAAGGTTTTGGCTACACTAATCAGACCTATCTCCGAAGGTCTTTCTCACTCAAAATATATGGAAAGAAGATCTGTAATCCACACTGATGTCATGACCAGACCATAGAACTGCCAAATCCGAGGAGGGCCAAACTACCGGACTGACGACAAGTCACTGCCATAGACTTTTCTTACAAGGACTATAAAAACATTATTAACGTTATCCGATTTATTAATACATACAATCAATTTTGTAAGTCTATGGAACGGTTAACTAGCCAACCCCGGAATTAATAGTACCT